ACCATCTCCTCCACCTTCCCATACGCCCTGCTCCATGCTCCCTCCACCTCCTCCGTCCACCCCGAACCCAGAGCCCTGCCCACTGTTTTGAGAAACGCCATTCGAAACACCTGAGAGGATGGGGACGCGGGGAAAACGGGGAAAGAGAGATGGTGGGTGTGTGTAGGCGTGAGCTGAAACATGCTCCCTCCACCTCCTCCGTCCACCCCGAACCCAGAGCCCTGCCCACTGTTTTGAGAAACGCCATTCGAAACACCTGAGAGGGTGAGGGAAAGCAGGGGCAAGAGGGAGGGAGAGGCGGTTAGGGAAAGGTGCTCCATGCTCCCTCCACCTCCTCCGTCCACCTATGATGGATTTGACGCGCTCAGCGTTCTGACGCTATTGATGCCCCCTGTCCGAGGGGTACCCCCAGCTTGACGCTCTGGCGGGCAGGCAAAAAAAACTTCCCGGGCAGGGGTAAAAAAAACTGGGAACAGGGGGGTTAGTAAGAGAGGTTGGGGGGCGTGGTGGGGCAGGAGTTGTAGGACATGTGGGGCAGTCATGAATGGGGTTTCCAAAGGAGATTTGTGGTGAAGTACTACGGGATGGGTTGGGTTGAGTAGTTTCAAAGGGGTGGAGGGTGGTTTGGGTGTTGGTTTGGTTCGGGCCTGTTTTGGGGCCTCAAAATGTCGAGTTCAATTTGGCAGGTCGCGTTTTGAGCGCGGAATTTTGATTTCGTTTTTTTTTTTTTTTTTTTTTTTTTTTTTTTTTTTTACTTTTTTTATTCGAAATCGGGCTGCCCGATTTTTTTTACCAGTAGCGTCAAGCGTCAAAACGGATTGACGCGTCAAGGGTCAAAACGAGGCGTTTTGACCCTTGACGTTTTCAGTTTTTGGAGTCAAATCCATCATAGCCGTCCACCCTGAGCCCAGTGCCCTGCCCACTGTTTTAAGAAACGCCATTCTAAACACCTGAGAGGGTGGGAGAAAGCAGGGGCAAGAGGGAGGAAAAAGGCTGTTACGGAAAGTCTAGTTTTGAGGCGCCTCAAAACAAGTGGGAGGAAAAAGGCTGTTAAGGAAAGGTGCTCCATGCCCCCTCCGCCTCCTCCGTCCACCCCGAACCCTGAGCCTTGCCCACTGTCTTGAGAAATGCCATTCAAAACACCTGAGAGGGTGTAGGGGGGGCAGGGGCAAGAGGGAGGAAAGAGGCTGTCAGGGAAAGGTGCACCATGCCCCCTCCACCTCCTCGGTCCACCCCGAACCCAGAGCCTTGCGCACTGTTTAAAGGAATGCCATCCGGAACACCTGAGAGGGTGTACGGGGTGTGGGGGGCCAGGGAAAGGAGGAGGAAATGGTTGGTGAGATGTGGAAACGTGGGGGGAGTAAATGGTGGGTTAGTGCGAGCTGCTGCATTCCCCCTCCACCTAATCCGACCACCCTGAGCCCAATATTTTGCAGATTGTCTTGAGGAACGAGATTCAAAACACCTGAGAGGATGGGGGAGCAGAGGGAAAGCAAGGAGGAGGGAAGAGACAGGAGGTATGAGCTGCCCCATGCACTCAGGGTATGAGCTGCCCCATGCACTCAGGGTATGAGCTGCCCCATGCACTCAGGGTATGAGCTGCCCCATGCACTCAGGGTATGAGCTGCCCCATGCACTCAGGGTATGAGCTGCCCCATGCACTCAGGGTATGAGCTGCCCCATGCACTCAGGGTATGAGCTGCCCCATGCACTCAGGGTATGAGCTGCCCCATGCACTCAGGGTATGAGCTGCCCCATGCACTCAGGGTATGAGCTGCCCCATGCACTCAGGGTATGAGCTGCCCCATGAACTCAGGGTATGAGCTGCCCCATGCACTCAGGGTATGAGCTGCCCCATGCACTCAGGGTATGAGCTGCCCCATGCACTCAGGGTATGAGCTGCCCCATGCACTCAGGGTATGAGCTGCCCCATGCACTCAGGGTATGAGCTGCCCCATGCACTCAGGGTATGAGCTGCCCCATGCACTCAGGGTATGAGCTGCCCCATGCACTCAGGGTATGAGCTGCCCCATGCACTCAGGGTATGAGCTGCCCCATGCACTCAGGGTATGAGCTGCCCCATGCACTCAGGGTATGAGCTGCCCCATGCACTCAGGGTATGAGCTGCCCCATGCACTCAGGGTATGAGCTGCCCCATGCACTCAGGGTATGAGCTGCCCCATGCACTCAGGGTATGAGCTGCCCCATGCACTCAGGGTATGAGCTGCCCCATGCACTCAGGGTATGAGCTGCCCCATGCACTCAGGGTATGAGCTGCCCCATGCACTCAGGGTATGAGCTGCCCCATGCACTCAGGGTATGAGCTGCCCATGCACTCAGGGTATGAGCTGCCCCATGCACTCAGGGTATGAGCTGCCCCATGCACTCAGGGTATGAGCTGCCCCATGCACTCAGGGTATGAGCTGCCCCATGCACTCAGGGTATGAGCTGCCCCATGCACTCAGGGTATGAGCTGCCCCATGCACTCAGGGTATGAGCTGCCCCATGCACTCAGGGTATGAGCTGCCCCATGCACTCAGGGTATGAGCTGCCCCATGCACTCAGGGTATGAGCTGCCCCATGCACTCAGGGTATGAGCTGCCCCATGCACTCAGGGTATGAGCTGCCCCATGCACTCAGGGTATGAGCTGCCCCATGCACTCAGGGTATGAGCTGCCCCATGCACTCAGGGTATGAGCTGCCCCATGCACTCAGGGTATGAGCTGCCCCATGCACTCAGGGTATGAGCTGCCCCATGCACTCAGGGTATGAGCTGCCCCATGCACTCAGGGTATGAGCTGCCCCATGCACTCAGGGTATGAGCTGCCCCATGCACTCAGGGTATGAGCTGCCCCATGCACTCAGGGTATGAGCTGCCCCATGCACTCAGGGTATGAGCTGCCCCATGCACTCAGGGTATGAGCTGCCCCATGCACTCAGGGTATGAGCTGCCCCATGCACTCAGGGTATGAGCTGCCCCATGCACTCAGGGTATGAGCTGCCCCATGCACTCAGGGTATGAGCTGCCCCATGCACTCAGGGTATGAGCTGCCCCATGCACTCAGGGTATGAGCTGCCCCATGCACTCAGGGTATGAGCTGCCCCATGCACTCAGGGTATGAGCTGCCCCATGCACTCAGGGTATGAGCTGCCCCATGCACTCAGGGTATGAGCTGCCCCATGCACTCAGGGTATGAGCTGCCCCATGCACTCAGGGTATGAGCTGCCCCATGCACTCAGGGTATGAGCTGCCCCATGCACTCAGGGTATGAGCTGCCCCATGCACTCAGGGTATGAGCTGCCCCATGCACTCAGGGTATGAGCTGCCCCATGCACTCAGGGTATGAGCTGCCCCATGCACTCAGGGTATGAGCTGCCCCATGCACTCAGGGTATGAGCTGCCCCATGCACTCAGGGTATGAGCTGCCCCATGCACTCAGGGTATGAGCTGCCCCATGCACTCAGGGTATGAGCTGCCCCATGCACTCAGGGTATGAGCTGCCCCATGCACTCAGGGTATGAGCTGCCCCATGCACTCAGGGTATGAGCTGCCCCATGCACTCAGGGTATGAGCTGCCCCATGCACTCAGGGTATGAGCTGCCCCATGCACTCAGGGTATGAGCTGCCCCATGCACTCAGGGTATGAGCTGCCCCATGCACTCAGGGTATGAGCTGCCCCATGCACTCAGGGTATGAGCTGCCCCATGCACTCAGGGTATGAGCTGCCCCATGCACTCAGGGTATGAGCTGCCCCATGCACTCACGGTATGAGCTGCCCCATGCACTCAGGGTATGAGCTGCCCCATGCACTCAGGGTATGAGCTGCCCCCTGCACTCAGGGTATGAGCTGCCCCCTGCACTCAGGGTATGAGCTGCCCCATGCACTCAGGGTATGAGCTGCCCCATGCACTCAGGGTATGAGCTGCCCCATGCACTCAGGGTATGAGCTGCCCCATGCACTCAGGGTATGAGCTGCCCCATGCACTCAGGGTATGAGCTGCCCCATGCACTCAGGGTATGAGCTGCCCCATGCACTCAGGGTATGAGCTGCCCCATGCACTCAGGGTATGAGCTGCCCCATGCACTCAGGGTATGAGCTGCCCCATGCACTCAGGGTATGAGCTGCCCCATGCACTCAGGGTATGAGCTGCCCCATGCACTCAGGGTATGAGCTGCCCCACGCACTCAGGGTATGAGCTGCCCCATGCACTCAGGGTATGAGCTGCCCCATGCACTCAGGGTATGAGCTGCCCCATGCACTCAGGGTATGAGCTGCCCCATGCACTCAGGGTATGAGCTGCCCCATGCACTCAGGGTATGAGCTGCCCCATGCACTCAGGGTATGAGCTGCCCCATGCACTCAGGGTATGAGCTGCCCCATGCACTCAGGGTATGAGCTGCCCCATGCACTCAGGGTATGAGCTGCCCCATGCACTCAGGGTATGAGCTGCCCCATGCACTCAGGGTATGAGCTGCCCCATGCACTCAGGGTATGAGCTGCCCCATGCACTCAGGGTATGAGCTGCCCCATGCACTCAGGGTATGAGCTGCCCCATGCACTCAGGGTATGAGCTGCCCCATGCACTCAGGGTATGAGCTGCCCCATGCACTCAGGGTATGAGCTACCCCATGCACTCAGGGTATGAGCTGCCCCATGCACTCAGGGTATGAGCTGCCCCATGCACTCAGGGTATGAGCTGCCCCATGCACTCAGGGTATGAGCTGCCCCATGCACTCAGGGTATGAGCTGCCCCATGCACTCAGGGTATGAGCTGCCCCATGCACTCAGGGTATGAGCTGCCCCATGCACTCAGGGTATGAGCTGCCCCATGCACTCAGGGTATGAGCTGCCCCATGCACTCAGGGTATGAGCTGCCCCATGCACTCAGGGTATGAGCTGCCCCATGCACTCAGGGTATGAGCTGCCCCATGCACTCAGGGTATGAGCTGCCCCATGCACCTCCTCGGTCCACCCTCAGCCCAGATCCTTGCCCACTGTTTAGAGAAACGCCATCCTAAACACCTGAGAGAGTGGAGGGAGGCAGGGGAAGGGAAGAGAAAAGACGGTGGGTGTGAGCTGGAAAAAAGGGGAATTGCAGGGGAATGGGGATGGAGACGGTTGGTGTGAGCTGCTCCATGCTCCCTACACCTCCTTAAGAGGCATGCCAAGGGAGAGAGAAGATGGTCGGTTTTTGGTGAGCCATGCTCAAACCATGTACTTTAGTAGTTGTTGGTTTGTAGGTGACTTTTGAGTCGACTCAAAAGTCACCTTGTTTGGTGAGCAATGCTCAAACGACGTACTTTAGTAGTTGTTGGTTTGTGTGCAGGCAAATGCATACATACAGTCACAATCCTGCCAATACAGAAATGTAGCCTTCATGCATGTACAAAAAAACATATAATATATTCTCATATCAATCCTATCGAATCATATCGTATCGTACCGCCATATGTGGGCGCCTGACGTTGTACTTGATGTGTCTGCCGCCCAAACCCTGCATGGCTGGCAGCATGCCGGCCACCGCTGCTCTGTCGTCCAGCTGGCAGCACGAGTCACAGATCTGACGTGGCAGGATGGGTTACGGACACAAGCACGGGCAGAGTGGAGTGGGGTGATTGAAGGCAGGGAGTCACAGCAGGGTGGCAAGCAGGCATGGCATGGAATGGCATGAAATGGCATGGAATGGCATGTCAATATGGCATGTCAATATGGCATGTCAATATGGCATGTCAATATGGCATGGGGGCATGAAGGCAGTGTTGGTGTGTCTCTGCCTGCAGCACGGGGTTTGCGGGTGCCCCTCCTCCTCTTTCCCCTCAACGCCTCCTCCCCTCTTTTCTCCCTACACACACCCTCTCACCAGCTTAAAGGCCGTGTTGGCGTGTCTCTGCAGCACGGGGTTTGCGGGTGCCCCTCCTCCTCTTCCCCCTCAACGCCTCCTTTCCTCTCCCCCTCCCTTCCCCCCACCTACTCACCAGCTTGAAGGCGGTGTTGGCGTGTCTCTGCAGCACGGGGTTGGTGGGCGCCGGCTCGTCCCATGGCCCAAAGAAACCACAGGAGCCCCCCCCTCCCCCTTCCCCCTATTCCCCGCCCACCTCCCTTCCCCCCACCCACTCACCAGCTTGAAAGCCGTGTTGGCGTGTCTCTGCAGCACGGGGTTGGTGGGTGCCGGCTCGTCCATGTCCCAAGAAGCCATGGGAGCCCCTTCTCCCCTTCCCCCTATTCCCCCCCTACCCCACCCACTCACCAGCTTGAAAGCCGTGTTGGCGTGTCTCTGCAGGACGGGGTTGGTGGGCGCTGGTTCATCCATGTCCCGTACAAACCAGAAGAGATCCCTCATCTCCTCCGACACGTCAAACATGCTGGCGGGAAGGGGAGGATGAGAGAAGCATGGCAAGAGATGCATGTATGAGCAGCGAGGCACGAACCAGAAGAGATCCCTCATCTCCTCCGACACATCAAACATGCTGGCGAGGAGGGGATGAAGAGCAGTGCACCAAGATAAACACGTGAGGAGGTGTGAGCAGGGAGGCACGCGTGTCTCGCACGAACCAGAAGAGATCCCTCATTTCCTCTGACACGTCAAACATGCTGAAGGAGAGGAGTGCAGTGAACGGAGATAAAACAAGTGAGAAACACACGAGCAGAGGTAGGAGCAGCCTAGCAGGGGTACATGAGCGCGCGACAATGACCAGAAGAGATCCTTCATTTCCTCTGACACGTCAAACATGCTGGGAAGGGAAGGGCATGAGCGAACACAAGAGTGCGTGGATATATGAATGAGAGGAAAGGATGAGGCATTCGTTTTGAAGAGATACCTCATTTCCTCTGACACGTCAAACATGCTGGCGGGGTGATGAAGAGAAGAGAGAGACATGATGAGATGCATGCACGGGCAGTGGCGCACGGACCAGAAAGAGATCCCTCATCTCCTCTGACACGTCAAACATGCTGGGAAGGGCATGAACACACACACAAAGAGGCATTAGCATGAAGAAATCCCTCATTTCCTCCGACACGCCAAACAAGCTGGAGGGGAGGAGAGGAGTGCAGTGCAGGAAGATAAGCAAGTGAGAAGCACATGGGAAGAGGTAGGAGCAGGGGTACATGAGCATGCGACATGAACCAGAAAGAGATCCCTCATCTCCTCCAACACCGTCAAACATGCTGGGGAGGACACAACATATTCAGATAGTGCGCGGAGGGGAATGAGAGGAAAGCACATGATTAGTGGGGCATGATATGAAGGGATCCCTCATTTTCTCAGACACGTCAAACATGCTGGAGGGGAGGAGGGGAGAGCAGTGCATACATAAACAAGTGAGAAGCACATAAGAAGTGTGACATGAACCAAAAGCGATCCATTATTTCTTCCAAGCGTCGTAATGCGTGCAAACGAACCGTCTTAAAAGGGTTGTACGTGAGGAACATGATCAGTGCGTGGTGGCTGAAATGCGGTTGCAGCCGTTTGTACGTCTCTCGCACGATCTCCGCGTCGCTCGCGGCGATCATCACGTCGTACTAATGCGTGCAAACGGGGCGTCCTATAGCGGGTACGTACGTTAGGAACATGATCAACGCGTGGTGGCTGAGGTGCGGTTGTAGCCGTTTGTACGTTTCTCGCACGATCTCCGCGTCGCTCGCGGCGATCATCATGTCGTCCGGCCGCAAACCCGCCGAGCCTAGCGGCGAGCGACCCGCCATGAGAGGCGGCGACGGAGATGGACGGAGACGAACGGAGATTGATGGAGATTGACGGAGATGAACGAAAATGTGGGACGGCGACGGACGGAAGAGGTGACCAGCGAGGCTTGACGTCGATACAGAACGTAGAGATCCCAAGAGACGTTTGGACGAGGAAATAGACGGATACTAGGGAACAGTCACGCGTCGACAGTGGATGGATCACCCGACCGTGGATAGATGAACGGCGACCGTTGATGGATCACGGAGCGCGTCCCCCAAGTGCGTGGTCAGATAGAACGGCACACCAGGAAAAAACGGTCGCTTTAGTCCTGCGCCTGGTGCTAATGTGACTATTAGTCCGTAAGGTGAGTACACAATGCTGTGCCTGTTCCGACGATCACGGCACTCCCAAGGGTGCTAGTTCTTGGAATCTCCCTTTACCTGGTACCTCTCGCTTTGCTGCTTCTCTGGAGCCATCCAGCCCTTGTGAAAATGTCGGGGAAACATTCCCCGCAAGTTGTACATGACTACAGTGTTGAGATTCAGCCGTACAATTTTATTGTTACAAACTGTTGAACACTGGTCACCTATATCGATATTAATACAAATTATTTGTTCCCTAGTGGGTAACTCGAGTTTTCGTCAAGATCGTCGTCGTCAACAGAGGCATCCCTCCAGCCATGCCACGACACCAAGCATATTGCTCGCCTGAACCATGCAGCAAGACGTAAAACAGCTCGGATCCGCGCTCTCGTCGCCCCTTGTTGCGGTCATCAGTTTTCCTGTGTTTGTCTCAAAGTCAAACACGTAGGATTGTCGATACATTTGACGCGGGCTTCTTTGTCAGATTAATTATGGTCCTGCGCGTGTGATCGTTGCGATATATATCCCTTGAACCTCGCAATTCGAGTTTACGTATAATCCCGTCTTGAGCCACTTTAGGAGATTATTGAAACTGCCCTGAGCGACGCCTCCGTCGTTGCCGCCCGTTTCCTGCCGGAAGACCCAAAATTCGCGAAAGCCGAGATGTTGCTCGCCTCTCGCCGAACGCCTCGCCTAGTAGTCGCATGGGTAACACGGGCGTCGTTAATCGTCGCACTACTCGCACAGGCCGCATCTATTGAAGGCGCAGCCGATGCTGGGGGAAACAGTGGAGGGATGGTGGCGGGTGGAACGGCTGCGAGCGCGATCGAGACGGGAAGCAGCAACGTTTGGGTGGTTCTGGTGGGATCGTCGCGGAACTGGTGAGTGCGTCCGTACTAATGAGGTGCAGTGGGGTGCAGTGGGGTGAAGAGGGGTGCAGTGGGGTGCAGTGCGGCGGTGAACGGTAGCAAGGGGGGAGGAGAGGTGAGGCGAGCAGCAGCATCGTGTGATTGAACTGTAATGAGGCTGGAAACGAGGCATAACGAGTACGTGTGGTGTGGGTAGTGCTGGTGGAATCGTCATACAAGGGCGAGAGGATTGCAGATGCTGAGATGGCAACATGGATTCATGGGGATATGGATTCATGGGGAGATGGATTCATGGGGAGATGGATTCATGGGGAGATGGATTCATGGGGAGATGGATTCATGGGGAGATGGATTCATGGGGAGATGGATTCATGGGGAGATGGATTCATGGGGAGATGGATTCATGGGGAGATGGATTCATGGGGAGATGGATTCATGGGGAGATGGATTCATGGGGAGATGGATTCATGGGGAGATGGATTCATGGGGAGATGGATTCATGGGGAGATGGATTCATGGGGAGATGGATTCATGGGGAGATGGATTCATGGGGAGATGGATTCATGGGGAGATGGATTCATGGGGAGATGGATTCATGGGGAGATGGATTCATGGGGAGATGGATTCATGGGGAGATGGATTCATGGGGGAATGGTGTGTTGAGTCGAATTGAGGGCCGTGAGTGGAAACGAGATCTGAGGTTGCAATGGTGTGCAGGCAGCAGTGTTGGTGTGTGTGAGTGAGAATGGTAGGAGGGGGTGGGATGTGTCGGGTGTTATGGATGGAGGTGTAGAGAGAGGAGGCTGTAGAAACGTGCATGGGATGTGTGATGTGGGATGTGGGATGTGTGATGTGTGATGTGTGATGTGTGATGTGGGATGTGTGATGTGGGATGTGTGATGTGGGATGTGTGATGTGGGATGTGGGATGTGTGATGTGTGATGTGGGATGTGGGATGTGTGATGTGGGATGTGGGATGTGGGATGTGGGATGTGTGATGTGGAATGTGTGATGTGGGATGTGTGATGTGGGATGTGGGATGTGTGATGTGTGATGTGGGATGTGGGATGTGTGATGTGGGATGTGGGATGTGGGATGTGGGATGTGGGATGTGTGATGTGGGATGTGTGATGTGGGATGTGTGATGTGGGATGTGTGATGTGTAATGTGGGATGTGGGATGTGTGATGTGGGATGTGGGATGTGGGATGTGTGATGTGTGATGTGTAATGTGGGATGTGGGATGTGCGATGTGCGATGTGGGATGTGTGATGTGTGATGTGTGATGTGTGATGTGGGATGTGTGATGTGTGATGTGTGATGTGTGATGTGGGATGTGTGATGTGGGATGTGTGATGTGGGATGTGGGATGTGTGATGTGTGATGTGGGATGTGTGATGTGGGATGTGTGATGTGGGATGTGTGATGTGGGATGTGTGATGTGGGATGTGTGATGTGCAATGTGCAATGTGCAATGTGTGGTCTCCCCTGCGTGGATCCATGGCAGGCTGAACTATCGAGACAACGCCAACACCCTCGCACTCTACAGGTAACACGAAGCCTGCTCCTTGCCTCTCCACCCTGCTTCTTGAGAATTCTAAAAGAACAGATCGAGACAACGCCAACACCCTTGCACTCTACAGGTAACACGAAGCCTGCTCCTTCCTGCTTGCTGCTTTCTGCTGCACGGCGCACGCACGCTACTGATCAGATTTATTTGGAAGTTGGAACAGCCATCAACCATGTGAAATGCCTTCCATCCGTGTCAAGGGCCGTCTCGCTGCTCGGTGTGCATGCCTTCTACCCACACACCAGTATTGTGTGCAACAATGGATCATATCACCCTTGCAACCACAACCATGCCTCACCAGGAGTGTGTGGGACCTAGGTGTGTTGTGTCGGACGAACGAATCATCCTCATGCTAGCAGAACATGCCCTGCAACCCCTGCAACCACCGCACCCCCCATCAACCACCTCCCACCCCTCTCCACCCAGGAGTGTGCGGGATCTAGGAGTCTCAGACGAGAGAATCATCCTCATGCTAGCAGACAACATGCCCTGCAGCAACCCCCGCAACCCCCACCCCCCGCAACCCCCACCCCCTGCAACCCCCACCCCCTGCAACCCCCGTAACCCCCAGACTCCCTTCAACCACCCCCAACCACTCTCAACCGCTCTCCACCCTTCCATGTTACCAGGAGTGTGCGGGATCTAGGCGTGTCAGACGAGAGAATCATCCTCATGCTGGCAGACAACATGCCCTGCAACCCTTGTACCTCCCCCCCCAACCCCCACAACCCCCTTCAACCGCACCCCACCGCTCTCCACCCAGGAGTGTGCGGGATCTGGGTGTATCAGATGAGAGAATCATCCTCATGCTCGCAGACAACATGCCCTGCAACCCCCGCAACCCCCACCCTGGCCGTGTCTTCCACAGCCCCGACCACCGCCTCAACCTCTATGGGGAGCACGTGGAGGTGAGATGAGGGGACTGGGAGTGGTGTCATTGGTAGCGCCGGTGCATGCGACCTTTGGCATGCCTGTGTGTCTTCCACAGCCCCGACCACCGCCTACCTCTATGGGGAGCACGTGGAGGTGAGGTGTTGAGGATACTGGTACTGGGAGTGGTTGGGATGGGTGATATGGTTCAACCCCCACCCTGGCCGTGTCTTCCACAGCCCCGACCACCGCCTGAACCTCTATGGGGAGCACGTGGAGGTGAGGTGTTGAGGATACTGGTACTGGGAGTGGTTGGGATGGGTGATATGGTTCAACCCCCACCCTGGCCGTGTCTTCCACAGCCCCGACCACCGCCTGAACCTCTATGGGGAGCACGTGGAGGTGAGGTGTTGAGGATACTGGTACTGGGAGTGGTTGGGATGGGTGATATGGTTCAACCCCCACCTGGTGACTACTGCAATGGGCTGAGGTGACATTGGATTCATGGCCTGAGCCATTGCAATGGCCTGTAGCACCATATGGCATCTCTTGCCCACCACCCTTCTTCCCTCCCCCTTCCCTCCCCCCCCCCTTCCATCTCCCCACCTGCCACCACCTCTCGAATTTCAGGTGGACTACTGGGGGGCGGAGGTGACAGTGGATTCATTCCTTTTTCCTGCACCACACACGCATCCCTTCTTTCCTTTTTCCTTATCTGTTCTTTCCTTCTCCCCTCCTCTCTCCCCCACTTCGCCCCCTCTCAGATGGACAACCGTGGGGTGGAGGTTTCAGTGGGTCGTTCCCTTCCCCACCCCACCCACCCCTCCCCTCCCCCTTCCCGGGCCTCTCTCGAATTGCAGGTGGATTACCGTGAGGCAAAAGAGACAGTATAGGTGGTTCTGGTGTTAATAATCCCCACTCTTCTTCCTCCCTCTCCTCCGCCCACTCCCCCTACTCTCAGGTAGACTACTGTAGGGCTCCATAAACACACCCTTCCTCACTCTTCCTCTCCCCCCCCCTTTCTCCCCCCGCTTCCCCCCCCCCCCCCCCCCTCCACACCCCCCCCTTCCCACCCCCTCTTGGGTTTCAGGTGGACCATCGAGGGGAGGAGGTGACAGTGGATGCGCTCCTGTGGCTCCATAAACACAGCCCTTCCTCCCCCCCCCCCTCCCCCCTCCCCATCCCCCCTGCTCCTCCCCGTCCTGCCTGCTCCTCCCCCTACCCCCTCTCTCAGGTGCACTACCGAGGGGCGGAGGTGACAGTGGATTTCTTTCTGTATCACCACAGACACATCCCTTCTCCCCGACCCCTCCTCCGCCCCTTTCCTGCTCCTCCCTCCTCTCTCCCCCCCAACCCCCCTCCCCCCCACCTGCTCAGGTGGACTACCGCGGGGCGGAAGTGACAGTGGATGCCTTCCTGCGCCTGCTGACCGGGCGGCACGATTCGTCCGTTCCGCGCAGCAAGCGGCTTCTCTCGGACGGCAGCAGTCGCATCCTCATCTACCTCACGGGCCACGGGGGAGACAAGTTCCTCAAGTTTCGGGATAAGGAGGAGCTGCAGGCGCAGGACTTAGCTGACGCGTTTCACCACATGCACCAGCAGCACAGGTGGGTGAGTCCTTGCTGTCCATCTTCCTGTCTCCACCTCCCTGTGTGCACATAACCAGCAGTTGCAGCAGTCGCATCCTCATCTACCTCACGGGCCACGGGGGAGACAAGTTTTTTGAAATTCCGCGACAGGTGTGCCGTCCTTCTTTCTGACACCACAAGATCTGGCCTAACCACTAATCTGGCCCTAGACTAACGTATGCACCCAGCATCACAGGTAAGCTGCAGCGTCTCCCAAAGATATTGCGCTCTACACGTGACAAACGGTCATGTTATTTTCGAAATTACTTATAACATGTCTGGATGGTGTAGTTGGTTATCACGCCAGTCTCACACACTGGAGGTCTCCGGTTCGATTCCGTGTTCAGACACTTTTTTCCAAGACACTCGGATGCCCGTTTTTCATGCCAGGCTCACCTGACGTGCACCCTGGCATTCACCCCTTTCAATCAATCCTTCCCCTCCCCCCTCCCCTCCATTAATCATCTTTCTTCCTCCCCCCCCCCCATCCTCCCCCTCTTTTTGTCACAGCAGCAAGTACAACTTAATCCTCCTCATGATCGCATAATGTAATTGGATAGCCTCCTTTCTCTCCCTCTTCCTTCCCCCAACCCCCCTTTTTTTTGTCACAGCAGCAAGTACAACTCGATTTTCCCCATGGTCGCATAATGCGATTGGATAGCCTCCTTCATTCTCCCATAGCAGTACCTCCCATGCCCCTCTTCCCTCCCATATCAGCACCTCTGTTTCCCCTGTCCATCCCACCAGGTACCATTCCATCCTCCCCATGATTCTGTTTTTGAGGAGCCTCAAAAATAGAAGACGTGCTCTCACAATGCACTTCGCCCCTATGGACATCTCCCTTTCCCCTGCCCCATCCCGCAGGTACCATTCAATCCTCCTTATGATCGACACATGCCAGGCGCAAACACTCTACTCCGAGGTATGCCCCTCTCTACTGCTGCTCTGCGGCTAACAGTTTGTCCATTTACCAATCCATTTTTCTCTCGCTCGTCTACTCATGATCGACACATGCCAGCCAGTCGCAAGCCCTCTAGTCCGAGGTAACAGTATGTCGATGCTGCTCTGCAGCATGCATGGATGGATGGATGGATGGATGGATTTATGGATGGATGGATGGATGGAGGGAGGGAGGGAGGGAGGGAGGGAGGGAGGGAGGGAGGGAGGGAGGGAGGGAGGGAGGGAGGGAGGGAGGGAGGGAGGGAGGGAGGGAGGGAGGGAGGGAGGGAGGGAGGGAGGGAGGGAGGGAGGGAGGGAGGGAGGGAGGGAGGGAGGGAGGGAGGGAGGGAGGGAGGGAGGGAGGGAGGGAGGGAGGGAGGGAGGGAGGGAGGGAGGGAGGGAGGGAGGGAGGGAGGGAGGGAGGGAGGGAGGGAGGGAGGGAGGAGGGAGGGAGGGACGGAGGGAGGGACGGAGGGAGGGACGGAGGGAGGGAGGGAGGGACGGAGGGAGGGAGGGAGGGAGGGAGGGAGGGAGGGAGGGAGGGAGGGAGGGAGGGAGGGAGGGAGGGAGGGAGGGAGGGAGGGAGGGAGGGAGGGAGGGACGGAGGGACGGAGGGACGGAGGGACGGAGGGACGGAGGGACGGAGGGAGGGACGGAGGGAGGGACGGAGGGAGGGACGGAGGGAGGGACGGAGGGAGGGACGGAGGGAGGGACGGAGGGAGGGAGGGAGGGAGGGAGGGAGGGAGGGAGGGAGGGAGGGAGGGAGGGAGGGAGGGAGGGAGGGAGGGAGGGAGGGAGGGAGGGAGGGAGGGAGGGAGGGAGGGAGGGAGGGAGGGAGGGAGGAGGGAGGGAGGGAGGGAGGGAGGGAGGGAGGGAGGGAGGAGGGAGGGAGGGAGGGAGGGAGGGAGGGAGGGAGGGACGGAGGACGGAGGGACGGAGGGACGGAGGGACGGAGGGACGGAGGGAGGGAGGGAGGGAGGGAGGGAGGGAGGGAGGGAGGGAGGGAGGGAGGGAGGGAGGGAGGGAGGGAGGGAGGGAGGGAGGGAGGGAGGGAGGGAGGGAGGGAGGGAGGGAGGAGGGAGGGAGGGAGGGAGGGAGGGAGGGAGGGAGGGAGGGAGGGAGGGAGGGAGGGAGGGAGGGAGGGAGGGAGGGAGGGAGGGAGGGAGGGAGGGAGGGAGGGAGGGAGGGAGGGAGGGAGGGAGGGAGGGAGGGAGGGAGGGAGGGAGGGAGGGAGGGAGGGAGGGAGGGAGGGAGGGAGGGAGGGAGGGAGGGAGGGACGGAGGGAGGAGGGAGGGAGGTGACGGATGGACGGAGGGAGGGAGGGAGGGAGGGAGGGAGGGAGGGAGGGAGGGAGGGAGGGAGGGAGGGAGGGAGGGAGGGAGGGAGGGAGGGAGGGAGGGAGGGAGGGAGGGAGGGAGGGAGGGAGGGAGGGACGGAGGGAGGGAGGGAGGGACGGAGGGGACGGAGGGACGGAGGGGACGGAGGGACGGACGGACGGGACGGATGGACGGACGGGATGGATGGACGGATGGGATGGATGGACCGACGCACGGACGGAAGGATGGACGGACGGAACGAAGGATGGATGCATGCATCGATGCATGGATGTATCCTCACCACCCTGTCATCCACTGTATCATCTCACCAGATTAGTCTCTCTCGCCACCAGACAACATCATCCGCTCTGCACCCTTTGCCCGTCGCCCCTTGCCATTTACCCCCTCACTCTGTGACCCCCTCATTGCAGATCTACTCTCCCGGCATCGTCTCTGTTGCCAGCACCAGCAGTGCCAAGGGCGAGAGCAGTGCCCTTCACCCTTTGACCTTGGCTCCCTCCCTCTCTCTTCCCCTCCCCACCCTGTGACCCCCTCACCTCCATGCAGATCTACTCCCCCGGCATCGTCTCTGTCGCCAGCAGTGCCAAGGCCGACAGTATTGTCCTTCACCGTTCGCCCTTTTCCCCCTTCCCCCCCTCCGTGCAGATCTACTCCCCCGGCATCGTCTCTGTCGCCAGCAGTGCCAAGGCCGACAGTATTGTCCTTCACCGTTCGCCCTTTTCCCCCTTCCCCCCCTCCGTGCAGATCTACTCCCCAGGCATCGTCTCTGTCGCCAGCAGTGCCAAGGGCGAGATGTCCTACTCCTACCTGCCTGACCTCGATGTGAGCGCCTGTCTGATTCAAGGAGATGCTTGACCTTGATGTGAGCACATGCCTCTATAAGCACATCTCAAGGTAAGAACGTTCTGCTAAGGTCACATGCTGCTGTGAGATGTCCTACTCCTAACTCCCTGACCTCGATGTGAGCGCATGCTTGTACAAGTTGTACCAGCACATAAGCACATTGTGAGATAAGCACATTCTGCTATGGCCACATGCTGCTGTTGGATGTCCTACGCCTACCTGCCTGACCTCAATGTGAGCACATGCCTTACAAGCATATCCCGAGACCACAATTGGCTGTCGTGTTTTGAGTCGACTCAAAGCACCACAATTGGCTGTCTTCAAAGCATATCCCGAGATAAGCACCACAATTGCAGTGTGTCTTTACTTGCTGGCTGTCCCCACTCCCCTCGTCCTTTGAGGCGCCTCAAAACTGTCTTTACTTGCTGGCTGTCCCCACTCCCCTCGTCCTTTGAGGCGCCTCAAAACTGTCTTTACTTGCTGGCTGTCCCCACTCCCCTCGTCCTTTGAGGCGCCTCAAAACTGTCTTTACTTGCTGGCTGTCCCCACTCCCCTCGTCCTTTGAGGCGCCTCAAAACTGTCTTTACTTGCTGGCTGTCCCCACTCCCCTCGTCCTTTGAGGCGCCTCAAAACTGTCTTTACTTGCTGGCTGTCCCCACTCCCCTCGTCCTTTGAGGCGCCTCAAAACTGTCTTTACTTGCTGGCTGTCCCCACTCCCCTCGTCCTTTGAGGCGCCTCAAAACTGTCTTTACTTGCTGGCTGTCCCCACTCCCCTCGTCCTTTGAGGCGCCTCAAAACTGTCTTTACTTGCTGGCTGTCCCCACTCCCCTCGTCCTTTGAGGCGCCTCAAAACTGTCTTTACTTGCTGGCTGTCCCCACTCCCCTCGTCCTTTGAGGCGCCTCAAAACTGTCTTTACTTGCTGGCTGTCCCCACTCCCCTCGTCCTTTGAGGCGCCTCAAAACTGTCTTTACTTGCTGGCTGTCCCCACTCCCCTCGTCCTTTGAGGCGCCTCAAAACTGTCTTTACTTGCTGGCTGTCCCCACTCCCCTCGTCCTTTGAGGCGCCTCAAAACTGTCTTTACTTGCTGGCTGTCCCCACTCCCCTCGTCCTTTGAGGCGCCTCAAAACTGTCTTTACTTGCTGGCTGTCCCCACTCCCCTCGTCCTTTGAGGCGCCTCAAAACTGTCTTTACTTGCTGGCTGTCCCCACTCCCCTCGTCCTTTGAGGCGCCTCAAAACTATCTTTACTTGCTGGCTGTCCCCACTCCCCTCGTCCTTTGAGGCGCCTCAAAACTGTCTTTACTTGCTGGCTGTCCCCACTCCCCTCGTCCTTTGAGGCGCCTCAAAACTGTCTTTACTTGCTGGCTGTCCCCACTCCCCTCGTCCTTTGAGGCGCCTCAAAACTGTCTTTACTTGCTGGCTGTCCCCACTCCCCTCGTCCCGTGTTCTCTCACCACACACACTGCACTGCTCTCTGCCGCCTCGTGCTCCTCTCTTCGCTTCCCTCCCTGCTGTTTTCAACTGAACTTTACGGTAGTCAAAATCTTTTCACCTGCCTGCCCTTTCTCTCCTTCTCTTCCACCTCTTCATCTTCTTCTCTCCACATCCTTCTCGTCTCTTCCTTGTCACCTGCAGCTGGGAGTGACAGTGGTAGATCTCTTCACGTACCACACGCTGCAGTTTCTGCATCAAATCAACGCTCGCTCCAACGCCTCCCTCGCCAGGTGGGGTCTGTTTGTTCTCATCATGCCTGTTCAAGTTATGCTCTTGTTGCAAGCTAGTGGCTTTCACACCCATGCAGCTGCATCCTGCAGAAGCCACCCAGCTGCACCCAACCGCACCCATGCATGTGCACCCTGCAGCCTGAATGTGCCATGTGATACCTTGCCTTTCACAGCTTTCAAAGTTACCTTTTTGGTGACTTATCACTGTCACAATTCGCAAGATTGACTTCAAGGCGGTGTATAATCATGCCTTCGCTATCATGCCATGCCACACCATGCCATGTTCATGCCACGCCATGCCGATGCAGTCTCTTTGAGTCGTACGATCCAGCCTTCCTCATGTCCACTCCGGGCTACCGCAGCTTCAACTTCCCCGCGCCTCTGCACCAGGTGATGCCTGCACCTGGTGATGCCTTCCTGCGCCTCTTCACTAGGTGATCCGTACAATCACATCATCCGCCATGCACTCCCATGCTCTGGTTAACCCACCGGCATGCGTTTACATGCTGTGCCGCGCAGTCACATGCTCTGACATGGAATCATATGCCTTTTGAGGCGCCTCAAAAGCACATGCTCTGACATGGAATCACATGCTCTGACATGGAATCACATGCTCTGACATGGAATCACATGCTCTGACATGGAATCACATGCTCTGACATGGAATCTTACGCTGCATGTGGTGTAGTAAAATGACAACCCTGCTTCCAGCTTGGGAACATAATTTCTCCTTTAAAGCCATTGTACCATCATGATAACTTCCTGTTTTCATCTGAACAGAATCGTCCTTTTTCATCGCCTCTTCCGTAGCCTCCTTTCCTTACCATGCCTTGTTTCATACCGAGACACTCATAAGTTTTTGGCCCTCTCTGCCCTCTCCCCTCCTCTCCCCTCTCTCTCTCCTCTCCCTTATCTCCCCTCTCCCCCCTTCCCTCCCACACCCAACAGGTGCCAGTGACTGACTATGTCGCCTCAGTCAGTCCAGATAACACCTGCCCCGTACCCACTCTTTCCTTTCCTTCACTACCTCCTCCCACCCCCAACAGGTGCCAGTCACTGACTATGTCGCTTCAGTCATGCCTGTCCAGATAACACCTGCCCCGTACCCTCTCTCTTCCACCGACATAACCTCGTCCGAAGCGATCAAGGCAGAGAGTGTAGGAGGAGGAGAGAGCTGTGCAGCAGAGGGAGGAGGTGATGGAAGGGGTGGTGTGAGGGAGGGGAATGGTGGGGGCGAGGAAGCAAGGCGTGGGAAGGGCTTGGAGACGGGAAAGGACTGGACGCTGGACAATGCCGTGATGTGGTTTGGGGACCGTAAGCATGAAGAGGTGTTTGCGAGTCATTCCCAAGTGGGCGGGTGGGCACTGATGGGGCTATCAGTTCTGACCCTTGTTGGAGCTGTGTGGGGCCCATGGCGTAATTTGGGCATCGCATAATGTATGAGTATGTTGTGGATCTCTGGTGTTGTTTGGGATTAGGTCATGAATTACTTGGTGAATCGTTTAGCCGTAAATAGCTGGATCCTAGTACAGTATAAGCTTGAGAAATAAGCAGTTTTTTTAAGGAAGAAACGGAGGGGTAGTGTACATTGACTGTAAGTTTGAAGTTGGTGTGGATAATCGCTTCGGGCTTTGAGGTGTACACAGCAACGAACTCCCAATAATAAGGTTCTAGGGCCGTATTCATTCGGCGTCGACATTTGATAAGGGCGCGTGTGATCTTTGAAAATTGTAAAAGTGTACATTTTCAGGGCGGATTTGGCATTTGAACTTAGGCCAAACAGAACTCGACTTTCGTTGTAACCAAAGTTCGAACCGCAGGTCCCCAAATCAGATGAGTAAAGTCACACACGCAGGGTCGAACGCAGAGATTCGACCCTATAGGGAAGGCGACGAGCCGCCAGTAGGGGTGTAGGTTACCTGGTACAATATTCTTAACACGTGGCCTGCTATGCGAGGCTCTCTTTGCATCCTTTTCCTAGTGAGCTGTTCCTGCTTCACGAAGCAGTCTCAAGTTTTGCATGTTCTTCGTACATGCTGAAAACAACACACGCTCGCTTCAAAGTGCACGCGCACGTTCACCCGTCTGATTCGAGTTGAGTTCACATTTGGCATTCGCACATGTATGCTCCCAAAATTCTCATGTCTTCGCCAATGACGTTTCGCGACATTGGCGAAAACAGTAACCACCTAAAGTTCGACTTTTTTTCCGAACCTGAAAAACGATCACACGCGCCCTAATTAGCGAGAAAAGGACGCGAGCATTCACGAGTGGGTTACCCGGTTCACCTTCTGTCCGCAAATGGCGCCGTAGCTTCCGCCCGCGCAGTCGGAGTACGAAGCTCCGCGGTAGCAGCGGATTCAGGAGAACCAGAAGCGAATGGTGGTGAGTCGCTCGCTCCCGATTGGCCCACTACTCCGTGGACCGCGTGCGAAATGCACGTGCTCGCACGTTTCGTTACACGTTGCCTTAAACCGCGGGCGACGTGACGCGCCGTTGTTCCGAACCTGAGCACGTAGGTTCGAAATCAACACGTTGCCTCGCTAGCGCCACTCCTAGTAGCGCCTGACGGTTGCGTGGTGGAGGGAAAACGGAAGAGCGGGTGGGGTCAAGGGGGGAACACCATAGCCTCGCAAGTTGCGCGACTGGGTACTAGGTTTTACCGGAAAGGATATTAGTTTTATGAGGAAGAAGGGATTTCTAATGCTTCCAGAATTCGGGCCCGCCGTTGGCAGCACGAGCGCTCCTCGCTCCGTCAGCAGCACTCGTGGTCTCTCGTGATGGTGCGTGTGAGGTTTTTTTAGTCTTGGAAAACTGCGTTTCGGAACAATGGCGCATAGGAAAAATGGCGCCTCGCAATGGCGCGTCACACGCGCACTCACTGCCGACACACTCATCACGCACCACTGGAAGCATCAGAGAGCCCGTTGTAATACGCACCAAGAGAGCAACGCGGCTCGGGCTCTGCTTCTGCTTCTCCCTTTCCCCCCATATCTCACGCTTTCCCCTTTCCCCTCTCGCCTTTCCTGAACTGGAATCCTCGAGCGACCAAGCCACGAGGCCTATAGGACGTGGTAAAAGTGACCGATTCGGGGCTACATGGATCCGCCACTGCGCTGTAACCCCGCTTTTCGCATCCACAGGAGTACAGAACCTATTCTAGCCGCGTTAAATTACGATCCTGAGGCGATCGGTCCAACACTTTTACCGCGTCCTTACTTGCCGCTTCCTTCTCCTCCTCTCACGTCCTCCTTCCAAACCCTCGTCCCATCTCTCCCGTCCCTCCCGTCCCTCCCGTCCCTCCCATCCCTCCCGTCCCTCCCGTCCCTCCCGTCCCTCCCATCCCTCCCGTCCCTCCCGTCCCTTCCATCCCTCGTTCTCTCCGTCGTCCCTGCCTCCCCTGCTATTTCTTCCCCTGTCCTTCTCGACATGTCTGGATGGTGTAGTCGGTTATCATGTCCTTCAGAGCATTCAGTCTTCAGTGACGGCGCTCCAGACCTTGTCTACCTGTACAACCCCCGCATCTAAGGGGGTATGGGCAATATGGGTGTCTTAGTATGGCTTAGGGAACTCTGTCTCTGATGTGCAGTTGTTGGAGTGTTCTGTCATGTCAGTCTTGTCCTGTTGGTCTTGTCACACGTCTTTCCCGTTTCTGTCCAGTCATCGGTCCTACACGACTTGTCTTCACCGGTCCACCTCATCATGTCATCACACCAAACCCGCACTCTGCCAAGTTTGTCCCACCTTATCTTCTTTCACTCAACCTCTCCTCGGTTTTGTTCACACGTCCCTGTCTTTGAAACACACCTTGCTGCCCTTCTTTAGCATTTTCTAGAAACCTTTGTACATATTGTATATAGAACCGTGTACACAGGGACATTGTAAATAAAGTCTGGTTATCACGCCAAGTCTCACACACTGGAGGTCTCCGGTTCAGACACGTTTTTGTCTCCCTAGCATTCACTCCTTCCAACCAATCCTCCTCCTTCCTCCCCCATCCTTATCCCTCTCACTCCCCCCTTCCCTTTCTTTTTGTCACAGCAGCAACTACAACTTGATTCCCTTCTCTTCATAATCGCATAATACGACTGAATTGCCTCCTTCCCATTCCCATTCCTTCGAATCAGCACCTCCCATTCCCTTTTCCCATCCAATCACCATGCTCTAATGCAGATGAATCACCCCCTTCCTTTCCCATGTGACACCTTCCTTTCCCCCTACCATTTATTTTTTCCCATGCTCTCAGGATGCAACTTTCCCATACTGACACCTCCCTTTTCCCTGTCCATATTGCCTGTCTTTTTTCTCATATGGCACTTCCCCATCCTCATGCTCTCACTATCGGACCGAACTGCCTCTCTTTTCTCCCATATGGACCCCTCCCTGTCCATCCATCCCACCAGGTGCCTTTCCATGCCCCCATGATCGGCACATGCCAGGCACAGGCACTCTACTTCGAGGTAGCCTCTTGCAGAGTGAAGAAGGATTCCAACTGCAGGATTTGGAACTCTAAAACAGGAACATCCACAGGCACAGACACTCTACTTCGAGGCATGTCCTGCTCTACTGCTGCTCTGCAGCTAACAGTTTGTCCCTTCACCAATCTACTTCTCCCTCCCAGTTCCGAGTATTTTCGTAATTGACACCTGCCAGGCGCAAACTCTCTTTCCCGAGGTACGTCCTGCGGCAATGCTGCTCAGCACCTGTCCCAGTCTCTTTGGCTGACCCCTCTGGGGGCCCAATTGTTGCACGAGCCTCCACTGTGCTCCCTTGTCCGGCCCCTCCAGTTCTCTGTCCGGTCTCCACATCCCCTTGTTCTCTAAGAACTTGGTGAGTAACGCTGTCCTCCAGGACGAGTTGGTCAGTACCTTTACTCCTGAAGGTGAGCGTGTGTCGATCTGTTCGGACTCACGCATTGGCGAGCACCTCGCCACGTTCACCCGGAGCCCTGGGTCTAGTCTGTACACACTGACCACTGAGTCCGCACAGGTGGCTGCGTCATGTCAGGTGGCTGCGTCTGCACAGGTGGCTGCGTCAGGTCAGTTAGCTGCATCTTGTTCGTGCCGGCTACTCTCGCACCAGACTCTCCTCTGGCACCACCGTCTTGGTCACCCCTCCCTACCGCGCTTGCGTGGCATGCACTCTCGTCTCCTTGTCTTTGGCCTCCCCATGTCCCTGCCCCCGCTCCCGCGCTGGCTTGCACCGCCGTGCATTCCTTGCGTCGAGGGGCGGCAGCGCGCCGCTCCTCACTCCTCCTCGTTTCCGCCGACCACTGCTCCTCTGCAGACTCTTCATATGGACATGTGGGGCCCAGCCCGCGTCCGTGGACAGGACCAGGAGCGCTACTTTCTGCTGATTGTTGACGACTACACGCGATACACCACGGTCTTCCCCTTGCGGAGCAAGGCGGATGTCCGAGAAGTTCTGATCGACTGGATCATCGCTGTTCGTCGCCAGCTGAGCGGTCGGTTTGAGCAGGACCTCCAGGTCCTGCGGCTGCACTCTGACGAGTTTTCCTTCGTCCTCCTTCGGGATTTTTTTCGTGCGGAGGGCATCCACCAGACGTTCACGCTTCCGGCCTCTCCACAGCAGAATGGGATTTCTGAGTGCCGCATTGGCTTAGTCATGGACGTTGCTCGCACCTCCATGATCCATGCAGCTGCTCCCCATTTTCTGTGGCCATTTGCGGTCCGATACGCCGCGCCTCAGCTCAACCTCTGGCCCCGTGTCTCTGTGCCAGAGACCTCGCCTACACTGCATTGGACGGGGGAGGTTGGCGATGCGTCGGCGTTTCGGGTCTGGGGCGCGCTCTCCCTTGTTCGCGATACCACCGCGAGCAAGCTCTCCCCTCGCACTCTCCGCTGCGTCTTCCTTGGCTTCCCCATTGACGCCCCGCCCTGACAGTTTTACCACCCTGTCTCGCACCGGGTCCTGTCTTCAGAGGACGTCACCTTTGACAAGTCGGTCTGCTTCTACCGTCTCCACCCGCACACGTCTTCCCCGCTCTCCCTGCCGCCCCTCTTCCTAGTCCCAGGTCCTCCTCCGGTAGACTCCCTCCCCCCGCAGGGTCCTACTCCCTCAAGTGTGTCTCAGGTCGACCCACCCCCCTTGGTTGAGCCTTTGGAGGTCTCCTCTGACTCCTCTGGCCCAGCTGTAGGGGGTGACCCCGCGGCTGACGACACGGCGATGACTCGCCGCTCCCCGCGCTTGGAGACCCCTCCTGGTTTTCCGCCTCGGCCGTCTTCGCCGCCTCCGCAGCTTGTCACTGTGGGCTCTGGTGGTTCTGGGGGTGCTGAGTCTGGGGGTGCCAGTTCTGGGGGTGCTGAGTCTGGGGGTGCTGGTTCTGGGGTTGCTAGAGCTGCTGGTGCTGGAGGTGCTGGAGCTGGAGGTGCCGCTGGTTCTGGGGGTGCTAGGGCTTCTGGAGCTGGAGGTGCTG